CTTAAAGTGGAAATGCAACAAATATAATCTATCGGTTTACTACTACACTAGCGACACAGGCGGATTTACGATGGGGGGGGCCTTTTGGGCTGAACCCCCCCCCCCAATCGGTAAAATATAACCAGTTTTTATAGAAAAAAATATAAAAATATATCTCTTATAATATTATTGTTCGTGTAATTACATTTAATAGGACTTCAAGAATCACTTAAACACCATTTCATATAGGTAGTTCATTTCTTTCTTTCTTTTTTTTTCAAATTAATTATCGTTATTTACATGAAAAAAACCATTCGGGCTGAAGCCCCGCCCTCCAAAATTAAATCCTGGATCCGCTAGTGATTAGCGGAAAATCGGCTGTCATTTTTTATAAAATTTGTAGATTATAAAATAAAATAGTGGAACAATATTACAGAAGTTGCAAGAAAACAAGAACTATAAAGGTAAATATAGATATTTCACAAACTATGGCAAACACAATTATCTTACTTAACTAATAGCGATATCAGTGCTATGCCAAATTTTTTAAAATTTTCTTTTTACCTAGATCAGATGTAAAACAAAAACAAATACTATCATAGAGAAACAACTATTTAAATATCTATGATTCCAAATAGTTCGTGAAATGTGTAAATGCAAGGAAGAGGGGAAGAGGAAGCGACAAACAGGGAGAAGTTGAGGTAAGGCGAATCAATAGAGGCCTTGACGTCAGGCTGGGCTAGGTAAGGGAACACAGCTCCTCCTATCGATTCCGTCCCACACATCGATTACTCAGTCAGTATCGATTTGTACGGTTCATTATTTATTTATCGTGAATACTAGTGATGTGCAAAACAGCTAATTATGAGTAGCAGTTACAACAGGTTATGCTACTTTCAAATAGTGTTACTGTTCCTAGCAATAGCGGATCCAGGATTTAATTTTCGAGGGGGGGGCGGCTTCACCCAAAAGCTTTTTTTTCTTAAAAATAACGATAATAATTACTTTGGAAAAAAAATAAAGAAACTAACTACCTATATGAAATGGTGTTTAATTGATTCCTAAAGTCCTTTTAAATGTAATTGCAGGAACAATAATACTTTAAGAGATAATTTTTTAATATTTTTTTCCATAAAACATGGTTATATTTTACCATTTTTGGGGGGGAGGAGAGAGAGCTTCAGCCCAAAGCTTTTTTTTTCTTAAAAATAACGATAATTACTTCGGAAAAAAAGAAAGAAACAAACTACCTAAATGAAATGGTTTTAAAGTGATTCCTAAAGTCCTTTTAAATGTAATTGCAGGAACAATAATACTTTAAGAGATAATTTTTTAATATTTTTTTCCATAAAACATGGTTATATTTTACCATTTTTTTTGGGGGGGGGAGGAGGAGAGGAGGCTTCAGCCCGAAAGCTTTTTTTCATAAAAATAACCATAATTAGTTGGAAAAAAAGAAAGCAACTAACTACCTATATGAAATGGTGTTTAAGTGATTCCTAAAGTCCTTTTAAATGTAATTACACAAACAATAATACTTTAACAGATAATTTTTATTACTTTTTTTACATAAAACATAGTTATATTTTACCTTTGTTTTTTGGGAGGGGAGGGGAGGGTTTAGAATAAAACCACCAATAGCTGACAGCATACTGACACCCTCGAAAAATGGGAATAATAAAATTTCAGGACCTCCTAGACATCTATTTCATATATTTTTTTAGTTTCTATATTCTCTCCATGTATATTTGTCTACTTTGCTTTAGTCTTCCCGGAAAATAACAGCCTAAATTATATTAAATTCTTATGATCTTTTTTTTAAATTAATTATTGAATGTTTTGGAACAGGGGAGTTTTTTTGTGTATTTTTTTAGTTGTTCTAGGGGGAGAGGGGGGATTTAGTAGTAGAGTTTTAGCTGTTTATGTTTTAACATAAAAAGTCAATACTTTTTATTTTAAATACTTTTGATATTTTTTTCTTTTCTAGAGGTTTTGCTCTTTCTTTCTATACATGTAACTTTTTTTTTTTTTTTTTTAAATACAATTATAAGTATAGTAAAGAAGATGCATTTTATTTTATAGTCTTTACATACTATTGTTTAAGATTTTGTATGTATTCTTTGAATCTTTATTAAGTTAGTTTTTGGCCAGATATGTATTTTTTCTTATGTAACTGTTCATTATTGTTATTCCAAGGGGACATTGTCCATGAATAAAGTTTATTTTATATTTCTATTTCTTTTTTTCTTTTGGTTTTCTGAAATGCACCCATCAAGGTCACTTTTTATTATGTGATTTATATTGATCTGACAGAGATTCCCATTTCCTGAGACATGATTTGTTGTTTTCGAATGGAATTTCTTCAGATTCGAGCAGCAACTGCTCTCACTGAATTTGCTGTTCTCACAGTGTGGGGAAGGCCTAGTCGAGATCTGTCACATACAGATAGGGTCGCATTATATCTATTTATAGTGCATTACACAAACATCTAGCTGATACCCAAAGGTTTCAAAGTGTTGAAAATCTGACCTACATCTTCCAAATTTGTGTAAGGCGATCACAGCTATTCGGTTTTCTTTATCACCTCACTCCACGTTAACTGAGTGAAAGAAAAATACAAACTAATTGGAATTATTATTCTGACATGTAAAGAAAATAACCTGATAGAGGTAAGGATTATCTAAATAATATCCAAGGGTGCAAACAAAGTTAAACTTTTGTAACAATATTTATGGCATTACTAGGCATAATATAGTACATTTTCATAATTGTACCTGACCCATAAGTGCACATTTCATGTTTTTATAATATTAAAAGTTTATAACAAATCTTAATCGGATTCTAAACATATTAAATTATAAAATAAAACTCATTCAACAAATACCCCAGTAAAAATACATACATTCGCGGTCATAAAAATTGCATAACCTATTTCTTTTGTTTCTTATCCTGATAACGTTGATTCCATTGAATGTTTTTGTTTATCTTTACATATTAAGGTTACAAGAAAACTTAAACAATGTCTCTCAGTTCAGTTTTAACTAATGCCAGTATAAAAACTATAATTATGAGCTGTATCAAAAACTGCCATGGTCAAAAAAACATTAAAATTGTGACGTTACATGATGTAAAGGAATTTTCATGGAAAATAGCGAGGATAGGGTTCCACCAATCAACAGTAGTCAGTTTTGAAACCAAAAAAATCTGGTGCGCGCAATACACAACTTTCACTTACTCTTTGAACTTTCAATAAAAATTGTTTTCTGGCCATGTTAGGCTATTATAAAATTTTTTAAATTGCATTTTAAACTGAGCTAAAGCTATAAAAACACAAATGCTATTAAAATAACAAAAGTCCTATTTATTATATCACCGGTTGATTATGGATTGTACGATTCGTTGATTATGGATTGTTCGATCCATTGATTATGGATTGTACGACAATAAGTCATTAAACTGTTATTTTCCATTGCAAAGTTTATTAAAACGGAATTAAGAGATTTTCAGTGTCTGTCATAGACAGGTCAAAAGTTGTCACACTAATTGTAAGTGGATACCGTTGGGATATCATAAAGGGTAAATTCATCAAATTATTCACTAATTTAATTTTCTAAAAGGTTACATGATGATTTTTCGGAATAAACGAACGGTATATACCTAATTATTTAAATATAATATCAGATCTAGAGTTATTAAACTACAGTTGAATGAATGAGAAATGCTATTAACATATTCAAAATTCAAAAACCGAAACAAAGGATTTAACCATTCCAGCAGAACGTATTAAAAATAAAACTAGAGACCATATCTTATCTCCTAATTGTCTGATTTTAACGATTTTTTTTTTTTGTTTTTTAGGCTATTCCATAAACTTTTAGAAAACCATAACAACATTCCCCAAAAAGTGTATACTTTTTGAGTTATTCGGAATTTAATTTTACCATCCCTCGTAACTTTTTTTCAGCTTCTTTTCGCTGATGAATGTTATATAGATAAATTAGAAGGGTGTCGAGAAAATGACTATAGCGAAGTTTCAATGAAATGGGTACATTCGTTTAGGCGCTACAGTCTATAGCTACATTTTTCTGCATTTTTATTTTTTTTTCTCCTTTATTAACTTATCAAATTCTTTCAAAAGTTATATTTAGCATTTTTTCGTAACTCTGAATAATGCGAAATAATTATCTTTTTAAAATAAACCATATTAAAGGTACTTTAGAGGAAGACATATATGAACATTGGGCATTTAAGCCCTGTAAAGTGACATCAATGGGGATAAGACCTAATTTATATTAAAGACCACTTAATTATACAACGATACACCGAGTTTAATCAAAATCATTAGAGCCGTTTTTGAGAAAACTGTGAAAATGTGTTTCAGCGTTGATATAAAGTGGCACTTCCGGTTAGCCGATTTTAAGGAAAAAGTTGCCGTCACAGCTAAGCCATATACCTATCTTAAATACGTGATATCAGTTTCATAGGACTTTTCGTTTTTTGAGCTAGACTGCTAACATACAAACACACAGACCATTTTTCGGGACTTGGTCATTTCGACTCAGGGTACCTCAAAACTTATAAATCCGTCGAAAACTCAGATTCAAAAATTTTCTCGATCGCAATACTTACACTTACTATATATTACATATATACGTAAGTGAAAGTAAAAATAACACACCATGGAGTGAAAGAGAGAAACTGGGAGGAGAAAATAAAAAACAAAACAAATGAACAATTTAACTGCTTAATCTTACGATTGTTTTAAGAATATAGTTTCCTAATTGGCAAATACATATCTGGAGATCTTGCATTAACAATCTGGTAAATAAAATAAGATTATAAGATAAGTAAATAAGATACACTGTTCTTTCTGTCCTAGGCAGAGAACATAAGAACATTAAACACAAAACATTTCCTATATTTCTTATCAACAATTTATTTAACATCTTCCTATGAATTTAATTTTTAAAAAAAGAAAGAAATATAATCAAAATAATAATTTATGAAATATTTAAAAACATATGAGTGAATACAACATCTGTAATAACTTTATTTATATTTAAAAAAAAATTAAACTAATACAATTTATGTATTTCATTGAAATTTTGTTGATTTAAAAAAAAATTTATTTATTTAAAAAAAAAAATTTGACTTGAATAACGCTACGAAAATCCAACAAAAATGCAAAGAGTCAAAGTCTATGTAGATGTCGAGAATACTGTACCAGACAGGAAACCACGACAGAAAAACATTGAAAGGCAAGCTTTAGGAGAAATAAAAAATACTATCCTTACAAGAAGCAAATATTTAGAACTGAAACAGGGCATAAAGAAAATAAATATAAAAGACCAACCTAAGCAGAAAACAAAGAGGTCTATCATTACTAAAAAGGCATCCTGTAAGAAAGTAGAATCCAACGATGAAACAAACAAATCACCCCAAATCACGAGAAGGCGGAGGCTTTCAAGTCTTTTTAGAGTAAGTGAGTACGCCAATGATATTTACAAATATCTGCAAAGGATAGAGGACAAGTATCCTATCAGTAGTAATGCATGGATGGAGATTAGATTCGGAGAGAATACACGGTTCGCCCTCGTGGACTGGTTGGTTGAGATCAATGAACATTTCCAATTCGTTCATGAAACTTTTCAACTGTGCATATCAATAATAGACAGGTACATTCAAGAAGATTATTCTTTGAACAAGAGGAAGGATTTACAATTGATAGCGCTAGCAGGAGTTTTCATCGCTTCAAAATATGAAGAAATAATCCCATTGGAAATAAACGACCTGCTGTATGTCTGCGACTCTTCATTATCAACTGACGAAATCTTGAAAATGGAAATGAAAATTGTGACAGATATGCAATGCAGCTTTGGTCGGCCAGTACCGGCTCACTTCGTTAGAAGATATTCCAATGTTGCAAAGGCGACAAATGTAGAACAGGCGTGTGCGTTTTACCTCACCGACGTCGCTCTCATGTCATACAAATTGTGCTACATGAAACCTTCAATCATCGCAGCTTCTGCATTGTACATAGCTATGTGCGTTTCGAATGGAGAAGTAGACCAGAGTCTATGGAGTCTGACTTTGATCAAATATTCAACTTATCACGTACAAGATTTAAAAGATTGTTTGAAAACACTTGCCAAGTGTCTAAAGAAGACAAAGTCATCCAGATATCAGGCCATAGAGAAAAAGTATTCCAAACAAGAATATTTCAACGTCAGTCAAATTACTGAGCTGCAAACAGTCATAGACGCACTGGCCCAGTAACGCTTATCTAGAATCGAAATGGCACGATGAATGAAAAAGCAAAAAGAGAAACATTGACCCTTATCATATCACATAGTGCTAAAAGGGATACACTAACCCTTATCATAGGAAGTAGCGCAAAAGGAGAATTCCTTATCATAGAAAGTAGCGCAAAAGGAGGTACATTAATTCATATCATAGCAAGTAGCGCAAAATGAGAAATCCTTACAATTGCAAGTAGCGCAAAAGGAGAAACACTAACCCTTATCATAGATGGTAGAAAAAGAATGCATAGGGTATTAGAGGGAAAACGGAAATAAGAGTAGAATATAGAATAAAAATATTTTAAATAAAGTGCTTTTATTTTTCTTATAATAAGACAAATATCTTACAACTAGTCGTCTGGCGATTTCACCCGAGACTTAAATAATAAACTATATGTTCAGTTTATAAACATGATGAGTACACACTACTTATCTAATTAACTGAATAACATCCAAAATTTATTTGAAAAATAAAAAGTTAATTCGCTAAATAAAAAAATCTGATGATGTAAATTACACAACTTTCATTTATGAATCCACTTTCAGTAAGAATGAATTTTTTAAAAAGTTTATTAACCTTATCAACAATTGCTTTAATCATAAATACAAACTTACAAAAATTAATATACAGAATAAATTATAGTCTACTTTTTTAGTCATATCTTTTAGGTTCGGGGCCATTTTTTAAAAACATTACAAAACCTCCTTTTTTAAAAAACCTCCTGAATAAAATAAATCCAGTCTTAATTGTGGATTGATGGTTGGCTTTAGTGAATAATTGAAGAGAAGGATGGTTGAGGTGATCAGTCAAAATAAAAAAATAGTAAAAATAAAAATATAAATATAAATCCAGTCTTGTATGAATAAGCGTTATTGATGAAGAAAACATTTAATATCTTCTACGGAGGAGGCACATAATTTGGGATCAAATAATTTTCTCTTTGCGTTTTTTCTTTTCTTAAAAATTTTAACATTGTATTTTAATTATTTATTTATAATTTTTAAATATAAAAAAACGACATTCGATGAAATAAAAGAATGACAAACCGACGAATAATATTATAATCTATATTAATAAAAACGTAAATGTTTGTTTGTTCAAAACCGCTAATCTCCGAAACTTCTTCACCGCTTTGAAGTATTGACATAATGTTTCTATCGCATTCAGGAGGGTTTTTATATACATTTAATCACCCTCCGGTCTTTTGTTTTGGAATGGTGGCCAAAAAACCTGTGTCGCTATAGACTGTAGCGCCTAAACGGCTATAATGATTTTAATTAAACTTGGCTAAAATCTTCTGCTTGAAGCCCTTTTAATTGATGTATATAACATCCTTCCCTGAAAAGAATATGAAAAAAAAGTAACAATGGGTTTAAAACTAAAGCAAATAACTCAAAAAGTATGCAATTTTTGTTTGAATATACCCATCATTATTTGAAAGTTTTTTTGATTCCCTGCAGATAAAAAAAAAATCAATAAAATCTGACGATTTGTTGCAGAGATATAATGATTTAAACATTTAGTAATGTTTCGTGGGTGATTTGGAGACCGATTGCTTCTTATATAGACAATTATATGTTGCGAATTCTAGAGTTGAAAAACCAGACAATCTCTATACCTATACAAAGACTGGAATAACAAAGAATATCGCATATTCACAAGTATTGTTACATAAAATATATTAGAAACATCCAATTTCTTTTCTACTCCCTTTTTTATTTAATCAGAAATGAGCCACAGCAACGTGTGGCCGGGTCAGCTAGTGATATATATTTTAAGAAGTTTTATGAAGCGGTGCATGATAGGTAGATAATAAATTTTGCATTAATTTTAACCAAAATAATTAAAAATTGTTATGTAAATTTTTTTTTTTTTTATAAAATAGATGTATGTATGTAACTGATTGTTAAAAATTAATATGTGTTTTATAATGGAATAATCTTATTAACATCATAAATAGTAACTACATTAAAATATTAAGAACAATAAGTTATATAAACAGAGGAAGCTAAGATCCTAAACTGAAGCAAATAGATGGTAACAATTGTTGTAGTATAATATAATATATGCAATGGTGAATATACTCCTACAGATTTACAGGAGAGATTGGAAGAAAAGTAAAAAGCATATAATATAAAAAAATGGACATAAAGGAATGTGGAGAAAGAAAATAAATAAGTAAATAAAATTAGAAGAATATAAATAGAGACTTACAGGTGAGTTCAGCAAGGAGTTTCATATAGAATTGGAAAACCTGGGTAAGTAACCTTGGAGAAATTTGAAGAAGCTTAGAAAGCTTGTCGAAACGTTGGCTTTTAATAAAATAGGTTTGCCACTATTTAGTCTATTTATGACCGCCACCCCGGACCATCTCCTTCCATATATTAAAATTAGTTTGCAGGACCTTGAAAATGGCTACTTAAGCCGAAACGTCAAATAATAAATACATAATGTGATAATGCGTATATTTGGTGACCTTTGGCCTAGTACTTATTTTCCATGTAACTGCATTTAGTTTTCATGGAAACATTTATTTCTCATTCAATAATAAGGAATAATGATATTAATAACATAACAGTACCAATCACAATTGTTAAAGCTGTTGTGGAGAAAACTGCGTAAATGTGTAAAATAAAAAGAATAGAGTGATACTTCTGGTAAATAGATATTAGTGAAAAAAGTTTTGTTATATCCTAGACATAGACCTTCATTAAATATGTAATTTAAGTTTTGTATTATCTTTCGTTTTTAAATTAGGCTGATCAAAAATACACACATAACATATTGTGAAACTTGTTTAATTTTATTCAAGAGACCTTATAACATGTATTTACGTTGAAAACTAAGATTTGAAATTTTTCATGACTTCAATATTTTCCTTTGCTATTTCAAATAAATGTAAAAAAATTGTCTAAGAAAAAAAAATTATTGATAGAAACATGATTTGTGTAAATATACATATTTTTTTAATAAATAGTTTGATTATAAACCTTTGCAGGAAAAAATGAATAAATAAAAGAAGGCACTAACCTGTGCTCTTGTATTCTCTGGTAAAGAGCACCACCTCCCTCTGAAAGGTAGCCGTCCGGAATATCTCGGCACTTTGATTGTAAGACCTCCCCGTCGGATAGGTATCCTAAGTAACAGAGGAGAAAACATAAAATATACATGGATATGCTACACTCTAAATGATTAGGTTTAACATAAAATTGATATACTATAACTTGTCCAAAACCAACTTGTCAACTTCCTAGAAGAATGTTCCCTCATCAAATCTTACCATCCTCATCCTTCTAGATTTTTCCAAAGCTTTTGATACAGTTGACCATAACATCCTTCTTACCAAATTACAAAATCTTCCTCTATTCAACAGTGTCCTGCGTTGGTTCAAATCCTTCCTTTCCGATCGATCCCAATATGTATTCGTCCCAGATCAACCTCCTTCAAAGACACTTCCCCTCTCCTGTGGTGTCCCTCAAGATCTTTTATTATTTGGTCCTCTTCCTTTTTTATATTTTTTTTTCTAATTTTTTATAATTAACTGATTTAAATCAGAAAGTAACTTAAAATTTCTTTTATTATTTTTTATTTTGACTACTTAATCAAACTATATTCTTGTTTATGTATCTCTGAGACTCCTTAGCCTACATTTTTGTCTTTCTGTATTATTCTAAAGGGACTCATTCCAGAATAAATAAAGAATTATTATTATTATTATATTGTAGAATGAGTCCCTTTTCTGGCTCTCGGGAACATTAGATTTTGACAAACCAGATGTCAAAAGAAAGGTAATTTCATGAGGAATGCTAATTAGGGTCCCTGACTTCATAGTTTGTTTCTTTTTATTTAGGAGTTTCTTTAATATGAAGTTTTCCTCAACCAAACTCCTTCTTAAGCAAGCCTCTCCACCTCTGCTGGTCCTTCACTTCCTCCTCCGGCAGTCCCATACCGGCCATACTCTCCTTCCATCTAATTCTACACTCTGCCTCTCCATCCATAATTATCTTTGGTATTCATTGTCGTCCATTTGTCTCACATGGCCATTCCACCTGATTCTCCTTCCTCCCATCATCTCTAGGATATATTGCTTTATTTCCAATCCCTCCCTTATAGTAATGTTTTTTACCCTTTCGATCCTTGATATCCTAGCAGCTCCCCTCCAAAAATCCCAGGGTCATACTGAGCGGCTGAATATTCCTGCCACAGTGTAAAGAATTAAGCGTTCACTGCTTTTTTTTTAATTTGTGATCCTTTAACGGATTTGTTCATCTATTCTTTCATAATTTCAATTATGGATCACAAATAACAAAATTGTTCCACTTTAATTAGGTTGCATAATGTTGGGTCGGTGATCTCTTCTTTCTCCGTGCACATATATTAGGTTTTTCTGTCATTTATTTGGAGGCTTCCTTGCACATAATAATCTATTATTTTTCTGAATAGGTAGCTTATATCTTCTTCATCTTGTGCAATTAATACCTGGTTATCGGTAAATAGTGAATGGCATAGGTTTCTTTCTTTTTAACTCAACGCCCATTTTCACAAATTTCCTCATCCATAGTACAACTTCAATAAAAGTTATTGAAAACAATAGAAAGTTTAAAAAACATTCACAAGTTGATGGATCGAGGCAGAAAAAATTTGTTTTTTAAAGATTTCACATGGATATCAGGTGGCGTTTTAAAAAATTTAAACATAACATTTTCGAGAGAACACACATACCCAGACTAATTTTAACGATAGCCTCCAATATGCCATGGGACACTTATCGCATATCTTTGAGGTTTTTATTGAAAATCAAAATATCACTATTTATTGCAGCCTATGACGATAAACTAAAAATCTGTTAAAGACGTAAACGAAGAATAATAACCTTAAGATTTCTTTGACACTTTAGATACAATAGGAAAAGATTTTTGTAGATATATTTTGATTATAAGATTGATGAGTGAAAGAACTACAAACTAAGAATCTTGCTTTTCCTCAACAATCCCCAATTGTTCTCAATAAAAAAAATACTTAGTTATTTTAAGTTTACAGGCAGTTGAGTATGTAGCTAGATTAATTCTGTTCGTGAAATTAATTTTCTTGATTAAGTTGTTTTTCTTACAGAAATAAATGTATTTCTTCAAAATCATTCATACTTCAAATATATTAGGGAAAAGGAAGATAGATATCTAATGGGAGAGTTTTTTTGATCTTGTTATAATATATGATCACTTGGAAATTAGAACGGAACAAGATAATTAAAAATAAGAGTCAAACATAGAATATAAATATAAAATAAAAGAATTCAATCTTTACCAGAATTAACAGATGAATTGGCAAAGTCAACTTCCATAAAGTTTCTTTCAGTATTACTTCTGGGATAAGTATCCAAAGGTCGGTAAGCTGAAAAAAAAAATTAAATCAGTAAAATGTTTACACATATATTAATTTTTCTCTAAACTAAGTTTTACAGGACAAAAGGGTGAAATAAAAAACCTTCTTATGGAATTTCCTAACCTTCCTAAACCATTTTTGGAAAAATATCCAGATTATTGAAATAGATATAATAGGACATGATTAATGTGATCAGATTTTAATATTGTTAAAGCGGGACACCAAAGACTGGGGGAGGAGGAGATTCTTGATTTAAAGTTTGGTTCATAAAGTCCAAAGGATATTTCAAATAGTTTACAATTCATTGTTACAAACAGTAATTTGTTGTTATAATAATTAATTTTACATAATGATAATCTGGGGGAGGGATAATCCAGCCGATCAGGCTAACACGTGTGCAAAATGCATGTTGCCCGGCAACCAGATGATTGATTAACCAAATTTTACAAAATATATATAATATATATATACGCATCCTAGTTCCAAGGGACTTTTAACTCTGAGGCATCAAATCCCTATCCTCTTCTATGGCCCAGGAAAATCCCCACATAGCCTTAAAGGACAGGAATAAGTGGAAAAAAAAAAATGATAATCTGGTGAAAATGTTGATCAGTCAACATAGTATTCAGCTGCAATAAGGTTGAGAATTTAGTTTGAAAGGGGTATTTTGGAGAGAGAATAATTTGATGATGTTTTTGACATCAAATTTAAGATTTGAATAATAACAGTTTTAAGACAAATGTTAGGTGCCAGCAGTTTTTACACAATCAAGCTCTTAACTTTTAAAACCTATTGAAGGTGACAAAATTTCGGTTATCGTAGTAGCAAATGAAGTTAATTTGTTGATGCCCAAGATTTAACCTTTTCCTCATCAATATATATTTGTTAATAACGATACCTAATTAAAAAGATCATTTTTGGGTTGTTTATTATCATTGAGTACATATAATGGTGGTCAAATTCTAACAACTGATCAGCAATGCGAATTTTGCTAAGTAATTCTTGATAATCAGTTCTTAACCGTTATATGTTATTATTAAAATGTAATATTATAAAATAAAACTCATATCCTGGCGAAATAGTTACATGACCAATAACTGGCACACAGCACATGATATGCTCCAGAATTGGGTAAGTCCTAGATAATAATATGTTTGGTCAATGGTTAAAACGTAACTGGCAGTTTAATTTGATTAACCATTGATCAACTTGTTGAGTCGAGTTGAGTTTTAACCATTGACCAAACTTATTAATAACCAAGACTTACCCAATTCTGGGACATAATATGTGCTTTTTTCCGTCTTACAATATACTAATAAGATTAGAATAAAATCCCACCAACTGCAGATAAGGAGTTGATGATCTTTGAATTGAAATGAAAAACACCCACCTCTACTCCTGTTCGGGGGTATCGTCCTCGGAGAGATGGAAACCGTTCTCTTATTGTATCCGGGCAGGAGGGGCTGCATAGGCTTCACATTCGCCATCGCTTCTTCAACCTCTTCGACCGATGACTGTCTTTCATGAGAGACTTCCAGTACAGCTTCGAGCTAGAACAATAAAAAAAAAAAAAGAAAAAGATAAATATAATCATAAAATAAATGTCATGAATATAGTTGTTAACAATTAGTTATCATTATAAATATTAGTCAAGATACATCGATAAAATATGAGTGAGAAGATCTATAATATAACAACAAACAAAAACTGGTACAAATTTCAGTGGATATCAAGCCACCTTGGATTGTTGGATTGTATGGAAGCGAGGATGCAGGGATAAGGCAAATTGTGAAAGAAAGAACCAAGGTAACCATGACAGATCTATAGAATTTGTTATAGAAAGAACCAATAAAAGAAATTGTAATCTTGATACTACTGGGAATCACAAACAAAAGAGAGAGACGATTATCAAGTATAGGCAACAGTGAGTCGTGTTCCATGGTTTGCTCTGAATATGTGATTCAACTGACACAATATAACACAAATTATAAGACTAAGGACTAATTACGGGTGTACCAAGAAATATCTCAATCTTAATAAATTTGACACAGCAATAACGAAATTGGCAAAGCGCCAGAAGACTCATCTCATATACTGCTTACAAGAGGAGGTTACAGAAATGAGGTCGCTGCTTTCAATGAAACTTGTTTGGTAATGCTAGGTTGAAAAATATTCCGACTCTTGTCTCAGTGCTCTCGCCATTGTGCCCAGAATTTTTTTCTTTATAAAATTCTAATATTTTTTTATATTTTTTTTTATATTGTTATTTGCTTTTGACCTATATGGAGTTCTAGGTTTTTATATATCAATCGATTTGTTTATTTGTGTAAAATAAGAGATTTAAAATTCTATTTAAAGGTGCCTGATGATTTAGGTAGTAAAAGTTGTTAAATAAAACAAAAAATATGAACAAAATACAATAAATTAATACGTGCTTAGATAAATGAGAAATTGAAAAAAATTAAAGTACAGTCAGTCTAAAGTAAGAACACAAAAGATAAAGTTTGCCAATAGGGAAGAAACCGCAGCCTTCTCCATTCTAATTTACTATAAACACTTAAATCTATCGTAGTGCCTGAAATAAATGTTATTCAGGTTTTCTTTTAGAATTTTAGGTTATAAATTATCCTCGAAGTATCAACGTAACAGTGCCTACTAAAAATATTTTATGGAATTGACTTTTTCAGATTATGTTTAGAATGAATCCGGGCCATAAAATTGATCTAATAGCTAATAGGACATGATACATATCTATATAAATAAACAACAAAGACAATTACTTTATATGATGGTTTTGTACCTGATTAAATTTCTATAAACAGATTATTATTATTACTTCACATAATTGGTACAATATTAAACCTTAATAAATAGTTTAAGAATATAATTTAAAAAAACAAAACAAATGATCCCGGTGTTATTGTTTGATTTTTCCAGGTGTCCCTGATGTGGAAGACAACCAGTGTCAAAACTCATGTAAAAGATAAAAATTAATGAAAATTATGAAAGTTTATTTTTTCCCTGTATGATTTAGTTAATATTTATTTAATACTGATTAATAAAAATTAAATTTTTTTTGTTATTTTGAACTTATTTCTTTATGATATTATACAGAAAAGATTTGATCTTAATTGGAATTTTAAATTAATTCCTAATAGCACTACTTGATTCTACATTTTTTTTTTAAATCATGAATTAAAAATAAGTTTAATTTATAATTTAAAATTTAAGAAGAGATATTTACACCTTTTAAGATCTCTAGACTCATGGTTCTTAATGAAGTGGGATATTGGAAAGGGTGGGGATGAGAATATTGGGCTAATGTGCATTTCCCCCTCTCCCTCCCCCACTACCTAGGGCAAGCTTTACATTAAAATTAATAAATATAATAATGAATTCAGCAGCAACAAGCAACATGCAAAAACTCCCTAAAGTGATAAATTAACATGAAGAAAACAATCATGGTATAATAATAAATAATGAAAAAACATAAATAAATAAAACAAAAGAAAAAATGGCAATTTATATTTTAATTATTTTGTTGGTTTAAGACTTGTTCCTTATTTGTAATAAACTTTAAGTTTATTTTATTGTCTTGATATTTATTTATTAGCCTTTAATGATTTTTAGTAATAATAATCATAAACTAATGAAAGATTTAAATTTACATCTATAGGAGTTTACAGTCCTTTAGGCTGAAACGTTTGATACAGAAATATTATGTAAAGAAAATAGAATCAACATAAAGTTTATTACTTAAAAAATATTTTACAAATACAAAAGAGAGTTAATAGCAAATTATCTAATCTTATTAATAAAAAGCAATGCAATGTTAGTAAGAAATGAGTTATCATGACAGAAGAGTAAGTGATTTACTTATAGTGCAAGAGAGCGACGCGTGAGTTCCCCCGATCACCAGAAAAATCTATTATAAGGTAAATTATCGTACCTTGTTAGGGATGCTATAGTGCGAATCGATGATTACCTTCTCCTTCTCCAGCGACTGGTAGAGAGAGGGTTCCTGTCGCGGAGGCATCGGGGCGACTGTGTGGGTCGGCTTCGAGTAGCCTTTGACTATCGCTGTCGGCTTGGGGATACAACTACCTCCGGCGACCCTCAGGGGCTCCGCAGTTTCCATCTGCAAATCATATGTTACAAGCAAAAAAAAAACAACAAAAAAAAAGGAGCAAGACAATAATAAGCATAAATACTTTTATAAATAAAAGTATAGTTTTCGTATTTCTGTTTTTAATTTCATAATTTGGTAGGTAAGTGTTTCCTAATCATTTTTATTTTTCATGTTTTTTTATCTTTCATAAATAGTTAACCTTCTGCTGGAATCCAATAGGATGTCTTTAAATTCAGCCTATAAAGCTGTTCATCACTGCTGGATTCAGTAGATTAATGAATTTCATCGATGGAATTAAAACTGAGTTTAGAAACTTGTTCTATAAGCAGGAACCTCACACACTACCTTGTGGTAAAGAGGAAAAGACTATGATGATGATTACAACAGAGGTCATCAAAAGATAGAAAATCAATATTATAAAATTATACAGTATCCAGGCAGAAATCCTACTAACATCCGTTCATTGATAAATGTAGATGATCGACAATAAAGCTCCCAACAAACTGTTACTTTTAACTGAATGAATTATTAATTTCAATTTGTTTTCAGTATATCCCACTAAATTTATACAAGCTGTACCTATTTATTATACATAAATACAATTTTATTTACTTATATTTGGTTTATTATTCTACTCTTAATAACATAATTTATAGAAGATGGAAGCGATTGATATTTTAATAGCCTCAACTGATGACAGACAAATAAATCCTAAACGTTATTTTTATGTATTTACCAGCTTGGAAATTTCTATATAGATTTAGGAATGAAAATATTCAAGAAAAAAAAAAGAATTATTTTATTTTATTATAAATCTTATTAAGAATAAACAAAATGTAAGAAAAAAAATCAAGGAGAGCGAAATTGGAAATTATTATTAAATATTGAGCACACTGAATTTTTTTTTTTTTTAACGTTGAAATAAAAATGATGATTCATATCAAAATATTTTACGAATCACCATTTTTAATTATCTAATATTGAAGATTTTTCCCCTTCCCTTTGCATTAAATATATAAACAATCAAAGAGGGTATAAAATTAATGAAACATTGCATGTACTGGAATTTCATCCTCCATTGCATAAAATAAAGGGTTAAGAATTAATAATAGAATTTATTCTGATCAAATCATATAATGAAAATAAAAATTTAAATTCATATTTTAAAAATTAACTCTCTTCAGTGAATAAAAAAAACAAAACAAATGAATTAATATAAACAATTGTTAAATACGTAATCTTACATTTGAAAAATAATATTTTTAAAATTGTTATAAAAAAATAAACCAACGTCTAGGTATAGATTTTTCATGAACCTTTTTTACTTCATTTTTGAAAAAGAAAATAAAGTCGGTGAGTTGTTTAACAAAAACAAAAGCTATATACATACAGTCAAGCGTTAGTCAACATGCCAAAAGTAGTGTTCACACATCGCGCATAAATAAAGTGCTATTGCCATAATAAAAACATCAGTGCCTTCATAGATAAGCCAATATAATTGCACCCATAACAATAAACCAAAAAAAAAAAAACATCAATTTCTTAAACAATAAAAATAGAATGCAGCACGCACTTCAGAGATTTATTACCTGATTTTCTTTAACAAAGTATGATCATGATCAATTCATTTACGTACATAAATGAAGAGACCATAGACTAAAAGATAATTAAAATTAAATTCTTTTCTTAATGTTTAAAGAACTGTAATGCTAATTTCAAAGTTTTTATTTAACAAAATTAAAAGCTAAACAATATTTAAATTTTTTTGACATAGCCAGGAGAGTATAATAGAATGAGTTTTTCTTTTAATATTATGGAATAAACTTTTAAAGATGACTAAAAAATATAATTATTTTACTTCAAAATTTTTTTATGAAGTCGATAAAATTATTAAATCCGTGAACAAAAAAGAAATTCTAATAGATATTTAATGTAGGATACATATCCTATATATATATGGATCGTGACATTTTCACTCTGGCAAGTACACGGTGGCAAGCTTAAAGGTAGCCATTAGTGGTTGGCAAAAAGGACCACTATGGGACCACTTACCGGACTAGTTCCACCCACCTATTACCAGTATGTAGTTTCAATTTGTACAATTCAGTGAATACACATATATTTTCAACCATAACTTTGCCTTTTCTTAATTTGAAAGAAAACCATTACTTACGAGTACAAGGCTCACGATCGCTTTAGGGGCCTCTAATATTTTCTGCACAATGTACACCAGTCATCAAGAGACCTACAGCTGCATCTCAGGGAACCGAATCGATATCCAAAGACGTTTTATTTATACAATGTCTTTCTTTTATCAAAATTGAGTTTGACATTTTGCTTATATTTTCTAATTAATTAATACTTTATAATTTACAACTTAATTTCAATTTTTCGTTTATATTTCATAATTACTTTTATTTGTACTTTTACATTATTCAAATATAACAATTTTAAGTTTAGTTTATTGAAAGCGACTTAGCTATTTCATTCAATAATTAAGACATTCCTAAAAGTAACCTTTTAATTGCGAAATCTATGGCTGTCACAGTTATTTTTATCTAATGAATTTAATAATATAATTTTATGTATAACTATGAGTACTTTACATTATTTACTGAAGTGCTGCTTTCGAAAAACATTCTACATCTTAAAAAACAGTAAGAAGTAAAAAAAACAATTAAATTATGTCTCCCAATTGATAGTGTACAAGGTAATTAAAAAGGAAAAAAAATATATATATATAAATTTTTACTTACGTTGGAGGTAGGAGCTGGCGGAGGAGGAGGGTTATCTTCCTTCTGCTCCTCGACTTCTTGTGGCTTTGGTTGAGGAGGGGCCTCTTTCGCTTCTGATGAAGGCGGTCTTTGGTAGGCCACCACTTGTTTAGGCTCATCGAAGACAGGCCTCTGTTCCTCCTTGCTCTCCCTCCTCTGTTGTTGCTGGTGTGGTTTGGCCAATGACCTGCTTGGTCTCACGAGTTTCGTATCTACTCTAACTACTTTCTTTCTATTGCTGACTTTACCAGCATCGATTTGTGATGATTCTTTTTTTTCTAATTGACTGAAATAAAATAATATAAAAATTGATATTATACCAAATAGTAAATGCAGCCGACTCTCAATAATTTATAATTCAAGGGACTATAAGAAAAATTCTAATTATCGAGTTATCAAGAGGAAAGAAAAAAATTGTAATTATTAAGAGTTTTTATTATATTTTTTAAAATATGTACGAGCTTAGTTAAATTTTAAATATAAATATCATTATATAAAACATATCACAAGGAAAATTTCAAATTATAAAGAGAAGAATTACTCTAGTTTAATTTATAGAACATTCTCTCCCCCTCTTGTTACGAAAAGGATTTTGAATTATCGAGCTATCAAAATAGTGCATTTTTTTTTATCAACCGAAGTCAACAGCTGAAGAGTTCGAATTGTCGAAAACTTCGAATTATTGAGAGTCGACTGTGCATCCCAATCTTGATAAAAATTAAATAAATTGTGAGATTATAAAATATTCCAGACTAAAATCGATCCCATTTGAATAATCTAAAATAAGGAATTAAGGTAGAAATGTTACAAGGTAAATTAGTTTTCTTAATATACCTTATTAAGAAAATATAATAATAACTAAGCGATTAGTTAAACAATAATCAATGTGATAACATTCTCGTTTACTATACACCTAAGGGTACAGCCTTTTCAGATCCTTTTTATGAAATTCTCTGACGATTCTAAGTATTGAAGCTCAATGTCTAACTTAGTATGTGTGGAAAAATATTTCATTAAAGAATAGAATCACAGGTAATATTGCTTTATTAAGTTTTTGTTATTATTATATGACTATTGTTAGATATTTTGGGGGAGCGGGGTAGCTCAGTGGTAGGGCACTGAGCTTCCAATGCAAAGGTCCCGAGTTCGAACCCCGGCTTATGGCAGAAAATTTATTTATCTGTTCCATTGGCCGTGGGGCGACCTTGGGTCAGAAGTCCCTCCTGGGGCACACCCAGCCTCTATAAAGTGGGTACCCTTAATTAAATAATTAATTAAGGGGAAAAACCTGGCGGTTGAGCGTGATCTCGGTCAAATCACCTCCTTGCACAACCGTTGACCTAGAAACAGTGCTTTCCCTAAATAGTACTGAACCCCAGACCCTTCATGGGTTGTAGTGGTACAGGTTTTTTTTTTTTTTTTTAGATATTTTAAGATATTCATATTTTTGTAAGTATAAAAACAATATGTATTTAAAATAAATATTTATTTAAATAATTGTTTTATTTGATATTTACTTTTATCCTATATTTGGTCTTTGGACAAGACTATAATGCAAACATTGAATGTATGTCTAATATATTTTTCTCAATATACACATTAATTATTATTAGTATTACATTGCCAATGTATATCTTTATCAACTCAGTTATGAACCAAATATTGAATTTGTGCAAATGGAAAGAAAAAATATTAATAACATATCAATTTACCTTTTTATTATTAGCAATAATTAAATTTTTTTCTAATAATGTACTTATCCCCTTTATATACTTGACTCTTCAATAAATTTTTATATATAATTTTAATAAATATATATTTCATAAAATACTCTGTTACTTATTGGGAAAAAAGATTAGCAACAAATTAGAAACATGAAAAAAATAATGTGTATCCACATAGAAAAAGTGATATATAACTAAGAGACAAATGAAGGTTTAAGATATGAATAGTAGTAATAAATAACAGCCATATATCACAGGGTTATGGGCGTATACAGATATTGCTATCTTTAATTTAGTTAAGAAAACTGCACAATATGAATCAAAAAAGCATATAAAACCTACTTTGTATTGAACAATATGTATCTTAAATTTTTGTTTTACAAAAAACATTTTAAAAAATACCTTGGTTTTGCTTCATTATGAAGACTCGTTGAGGAATCACTTCTTTCAGACTTGGCAGAACTGAAACCACTTGAACTAGACGTTCTTTTGGCACTTCCTACAGCTGTTCGATTCAATAAGTAAATTATATCAATATTTCAATAAAACAAAATAAAATACAGAAATTAAAATAAAATAATTATCACTTACTCGTTTTTGGTTTATCTTTGGGATTGAAAAGTTTTAACTTATCTAGCATGGAACCATTCTTGTTAGGTGTATTGTACGGGCTGCTAATAGCATTAGGATTTCTGGAGCTGACAACTCTAGGGGCACTGAAAGAATGTCAGAGGAGATAAAATACTGAAAATATAAGTAATTTACTGAGGAAACAAATGCTCATAAAAAAATTTGAAAGTGGATACTATTTTATTTAGTCAGTGTTTTGAACCAACTATGCAGGTCTAGAATGAACTGCATATAAAATTAAGAATAGCTTATTCTTGTTTTTGTTATCTAAATATCTTGTAATTCCTGGTTATTTATGGCCTTTCATTCTAGACCTAAAGAAGACCTGCATAGTTGGGTTGAAATTTCAGCTTAATAAAATAGTTTTCACAACTTTCATTTTATTTTATGACTGTCACTCAGGACAATCTTGTTCTTCAATATACTATGGTCAACTACTGAGTATTTAGTAGGTAAATTACCTTTGAGAAACTTGTTTCTCATTGAGGGAAGACCTGACTGAAGTTCTCGGTGTGGGTATAAATGAATGTGACGGACTAGTAGATCTGGAACTGCTTGTAGAAGGACACTTGAGCGGGCTAGAGACTGTAAAAACAAAACCGACATCAGTAAACTACGGCACAAAACTAGAGTGTAAGCATTTTTTTTCCAGGACTAACACAAAAAATGGGTAGGGTCAGGTACAAAGTTGAGCAATAACCCAGAGTCGATGACTGTTACAGAAAACTGCTTTCTGAGGAGTTCTTAGTCAGACTTATCAGTTTGAGGATATTTTAAATGATTTTATGTAGTTTAAATAGGATGACAACTGAGTTGTTGGATACAAAACAACCGACTATCCCTGTACCTGGACTGATATTCCTTAAGTGGGGGATTTAAATTTAAAAGGAGAAATGTTGTAGGTGTCGCAGAAACCTGTTCGGAGTGAGTAGGAACCAGCTGAGAACGGCAAACAGAAATATGCACGCCCACATGGAGAGAACGCCGAGCAGCAACCTCAACCATTGACAACCCCGACCCAAACAATAACATCCCCTCCCGCCACTACACGAGGGCTTGCGCCGCTCTGCCATCTAGCGGTCTCTCGTAGTAACTACCACAACCGCCAAGTTCAAATATATAAACAAACTATATTAAACTCTACAATCATCATTAGCACCAGTTGTGGATCCAACATTTCATGTTTGTAGGCTTATATATATATATATATTGTATATCGTAGCTTGATGTCCTTGTGGCGGTACTGTTTGTTGGGTCTGCCAGCGTGCTGCCCGGCTTGGAGTATGGATGCTAAATTAAAAAACTGAAGAGGATCCCATTATTTATGTTAACAAAACAGGGATCGAAACGTTTTTGATGAAATGGAACAAACAGAAGCAGTTTTTAGTCATTTAAGTGTATTTCACGGCCTTTTATACGACTATAATTCATATCTTAACTTATAATATATAGAGATCGAATTACAAAAAAAACATTGTAATATTATAAATATATATAAACGGCTCTAAAAGAATTAGGAGGGTGGGTCTCTATATAAAATGTATTACCCAAGTGTTCCAAATTTAAATATAAATCAATAAGTGTACATTTTTTTTTTCTTGAAACATCCTTACATTAAGTCACTAGAGGATCCAGGATTCAATTTTGGGGGGACTTCAGCCCGAAACATTTTTTCTCATATATATATAACGATAGTTAATTTTAAAAAAAAGAAGAAGAAAGAAATGAACTACCTATATGAAATGGTGTTTAAGTGATTCTTGAAGTCCTATTAAATGTAATTACACGAACAATAATACTATAAGAGATATATTTTTCTATAAAACATAATTATATTTTACCGTTTTGGAGGGGGGGAGGGGGCCTCAGCCCGAAAGCCCTCCCTCGTAAATCCGCCTGTGCATTAAGTACAGGTATATGCATTATAATCTACGAAGTGAATATCGTCGGTTTATTGAAAAAAGCCGTTAAGTGATATTTGATAAATTAAAACATAAATTAAACCGGTTTCGATCCTCAAATTACTCGCCTAATATTCTTTAAACCAGCCGCCATTTTTTAAAACAGCGGCTCTGGAAAGGCAGACAAGGTTCTTTTTAATCACATTTTTAACATACACTTTCAATTTAAAAGAGGGGTGTCCAGAAGGAGGTTTCGTGGCACAAGTTGCGCTATCAAAATTATTGAGGGAGGGCAAATTTCGATGGGGTTATCAGTTTTCGGACTAAGAGACGATAAGAGGAAAACATGGCACAACTTGCAGCAAGTGTAATTGTATATAATCTAAGATTTTTCTAATTTTGTGTTTTTAAGAAACGGTGAGCAACAAAATATCTCGGAAGGAGGGATGGGTAGATTCTTGCCCCAACGACCTTGAGAGGGGGAGGGGGAGGAGGAATGGGCACCCCTGATTTACAATCAAACCTCCGGATGCGATGAGGTCGATTTACGGACCCTGGCTTCAGGGCGATAAGAGTCAGTTGTACAATTGGCCCTAGATAGCGCAAGAATCTACTAAGTTAATTGTTGTTTATGCCCACTTTTACTCATACTCGACTAAATAATTATCCTTGTTCAGAGGAAGTGTTAGATGGTTAACTAATTCAATTAGTAATTTAGAAAACAAATGGTTCTTAGAGAACCTTCATTGTTTCCTTAGGAGAGAAAGTTCACTGACTAATTTGAGAAAACTCGTTAGCAGGTCTTACAGTCTCACATTTGCGAACTATGGCATTCGTACATCCATCGACTTTAAATAGAAATAGTAATTTGTTATCACTCGGCTCACTTCGTCTACATGGCGACAGTATTCTGCAGTCGTAGCGTTGAGTCAGCAGCGGTGTGCTTGTCTACATATTGATAGTAAACCGAGCATTGTTGTGAACATGGTGTATAAAAAACAGCTGATTGAAAATTTGTATTACATGAACATTTACTCTATTAAAGGAGTATCCAAGCTTTTTGGACTATTAAATGGAAAAAAAATTGTGGGAAAAGGATCAAAATATTAAAAATTAACATTAGATGGCCATCGATAGTCGATATTATAGAAATATCGACATTTTCCTTCTGATAAGTGATATTTTACAATAGATCTGCTTCGATATTATCGACTATCGATATTGTCCCTTCGATATTTTAATTATAAAGTAAAAAATTTAAACCATTTGTTTTCAGAAAACGTATCAATCTGATCGTTAGAAAAAAATATATACAAATCTTTCCTGTTTCATGTAGAATATAGTGCTTAGTAGAAGAAAATATAGATATTTCGATCATTTTTATATAAATTTAGATCGATAGCACAGGTGAATCTACGGGGAAGGGGGGGGGAGGCTTTCGGGCCGAAGCTCCCCCCAAAATGGTAAAATGTAACCATGTTTTACAGAAAAAAATATTAAAAACTATCTCTTAAAGTATCCTTGTTCGTGTAATTATATTTAATATGACATCAAGAACCACTTAAACACCATTTCATATAGGTAGTTAAGTTCTTTCTTTTTTTTTTCAAACTAATTATCGTTATATGTATATGAAAGAAAATCTTTCGGACTGAAGCCCCCACCCAAAAAAACAAAATGCTAAAATATAACTATGTTTCATCGAAAAAAATAATAAAAAAGTATCTCTTAAAGTATTATTGTTCGTGTAATTACATTTAAAAGGACTTAAGGAATCACTTAAACACCATTTCATATAGGTAGTTAGTTTCTTTCTTTTTTTCCAAAGTAAATATCGTCATTTTTATGAAAAAAAAATCTTTCGGGCTGAAGCTCCTCCCCAAAATTAAATCCTGGATCCACTAGTGAGTGGATATCGATAATATCGATAATGTCATCGGTATTACATTATCGATATCTCAAATCTAGACCTGTATCACTACAACCTATAGAGGGTCTTGAATTTACTAAATTCTGAGAAAGTACTTTTGGTCATGGGAACATGCTAAACCTGTAAGTTTTTTCCCTTAATAAATTATTTAATTAAGAGTTCTCAGTTTACAGAGACTGAGTGTGCCCCAAGAGGGTCTCTCGATCCTAGGTTCGATCTATGCCTGATGTAACAGCATAAATAATTAATACTTATGTCACCTTTTTGATTATTTTTACTTCATCATTCCACACTTCGAACGGTTATTATTATTTATCTCTTAGCTCTTACTATTTTCATTATTATAACAACAGCATTTTACTTTAATTATTTATTATGACATACACTACTTATGTTTCTCATACCTTGTTATCTGGTTCTTTTCTAAGCCCTGCTGAAGCCTGAACTTCAGTCGAAACTTCGCAAATGTCAAATAATATTATCATTTATTTTTGCCTTCTTATTTGACTGATCACGCCAACTATTCTTCTCTTCATATCACGACAGTCAACCATTTACCCACAATCAAAAATAATTAAGTTGAAAGCGAAGTTTTATTATAGTTCTACTTAAAAATTTGGAGTAGAAATCACTGTTACTTTTCATAACTTGATAAATTTATTAACTTTTTTTTTTAGAGAATCTTACAAAGAACAGACCTTTTGTAAATGTTAATTAATATATGTTTAAATAATAATATAAATAAAGTATTAACTTTTTAATATTACTAAATAAGGTAAATTATTTGCCATTACTAAAAATATTTACAGGTTTTTTATTAAGTGCTTGTATTAACTACTTACTTTTGACTCCTATATATATAGTATAGTATTATAGTTATAAGTAACTATAGTGATCACTAACTATAACAACTCACTAAGACAGCTCACTACTACAGCGTTACTAAACAGCTACTGAGACAGAAAGAGAACTGGCTATTTACACAATGTATTCCAACACGAGATGGGAACACTCCATTGTCTCCGTGTTCCGTTAGGTCTTTGGAACTGTTTCAGCACACATACGGACTCGAATTAACATAACAGTTTTCCTTAACATACGATAGGAAAAAAAGTTTTGTTCTTTAATAATATATGTGCCTGGTATATGTGTAGGCGGTCGCCCTCTCCCTCCACTAATAAAAATATCGAAGAGCCGAGAATATCGCTTCGTCCATTTAACCCTCTCAATAATTTATAACTTGTTGGTATAATTCGCACAGTACATCGTTCAGTTATCAAATGACAAATTATCAAGAAAAGAAAATAATGCAAGGTTTCATAATATAGAGAAATTGTTACTTCCTCTCTAATTATAATCAATAAAGGAAAAAAAAAATAGTTTAAAACTTCATTAATGTTTTGAGCCAACATGTTTACAAATTTCAACAAGACTGTATCTTTGCTTATAATTGTTCGATTTTTTTTCCCTTTTGTAGAGAATTTAGTAATCTTTTAAATAATCATGGGTAATAGCCTAAGAAAAAGTGTTTAATTTTTGAGTTATTATCAAATAAAGTTTCTTTCCTTAAATAACTTTTTGCCTGAATTTCAGGGGGGATAGGAATATTTTCCCGACTGAAGGAGAAGGAAACCCTTAAAAATGAGTGGCTCAATCTTTGAATTTGATGAAGAATTAACGATGATATGGCTTACCGACAAAAAAACACCATCGATAAATAATATAAACTCCTCCTCTCTCGATCATTGAGACCTCAAGTCGACGAAATGAAACATCTATTCAATGACAGTACTACAACTAAGGCAAGGTAGTGTGGATTCGAACCCTTTGCCTTGCATTGTCTCGAAAAGGGTACGTTTTTTTGGTTTGTAAACGAAGGATTTTCGATAGTTCCAAAGGAACTATCAGGGTCTTGGCGTACTCATAAAAATATCTCAAAAACTAAGAATCGGACCCGTATACTGTAAGCGAGGGGAACGTTCATCATTTCATCCTTTTTTATTAAATAGTTAAACTGTTTTTATTCAATCATTTTTTTAAATTTCTTTATTGAGTATTATAACAATCTGTCTCTTGGACATTGGTTATAGTGAGGTAGGATGACATTCACACTATATGTACAAAAAATAAAATAAATAGAACAAAATAATAATCAAAAGTATATACAATAGATAATAAAATAAAATAACCTAAAAAATAAGAAAATTAAAACTAAGAAAAAAAACAAATGCATAACTATATACAATCAGGCGAGGGAACTCCAGGAGAACCCCCCGCCAGATTCAATCATTTATCGGCGCACAATGTTAGTAAAGGGAAAACTCGCGACATTGGCTAAATATTTTTTTTTTTTTTTTATATTCAATCATAAAAAAAAAAAGTTATTTAGCCAATGTCGCGAGTTTTCCCCTTACTACCATTGTGCACCGTGTTACAGAAGGGAAAAGAAAAAAAATAGTGTCGCAAACCAAATTATAACGAATTTTCATGGAAGATACGGATTAAAATATCTGAAACACTAAAAATAAGACATGCATACTGTAAGCGAGAAAAATGCTCAGCATTTCATTCTCTTTATAATGAGCTATCTCATATATTATTTCTTACAGGTGTTTTTTTTTGTCACAACACCATAATTTCGTCAATTCTTCATCAAATCCAATAATTGTTGAGCCCTCATTTTGAAGATCTTTTTTATCTTCAAGTGGTGAAAAATAGTCACATCGCCCCGAAATTTAAGGAAAAAGGGTTCTGAAGGAAAAGAAACTTTATTTGCGAATAACTTAAAAATTATACATTTTTTTTCTTGGTTGGTACCCATGATAATTAGAATGATTATTAAACAACCTTTACCAAAACAAACATAAAATTGTAAAACAATTATTAACAAAGACACAACCATTAAGTTTTGGTATACTTAGTAATTTCTTCCTCTTTAAAGATACTGCATTTACTACTCTACGAACTTTTTTTTTCCTCGCTGATATACGTTTTATTATTTCTTAAAGGCTATTTTTGGTAAGTACACTTTCTATTTTTTAATAATTTAGAAAATCCCATGATCGAGGCTTTATTTTGAATGTTACCTTTCCAGTTTATATTGTAACATGGAATATTGTAATCTACCCAGAAAAAACAATTAATTCCTTCCTTAGATAATACATATGACCTACTTATTTTTATATTGTTTCGCAATTCCTTCACTAAACAAATTTTTTTGCGAATTATTCGGACGGGCCAACTAATAATTTATAATTCATATTATTAATCTCACCTTGTTGATGTTTTCACTAAAACATTTAAGATCTAAACCACACCTTAGTTTTTTTTTTTCCATCGGCTCCCTCAACGAAAATAATGAATCTGCGCCTACGCAGGAACTATCAAAACGTGTACTTTAGTTAAAAAATTAGATCAGAATTTTGTTACGATCACTATGCTTACAATTACTATCTACTTCATATATAAGTAATTAAAAGAAAAAATGGTACTTGTTAAATAGCGGATTGCCTCGAAACCTCCTTTCTTATTCTTATTATTATTACAACACATAGATTATTAAGTTATTATTTCATTTATTTCTATATACTTTGTAATGTTTTTTAATTATTTATGTATAATGTTTTGGTATATTTAATATAACAACCTATCCGCAGGCTCCTCGTTTCCTCATTGATTTTCCCCTACTTTGACTATGGCTGTGTGGTATACGGTGGCCTCTCGTTGGAGCTTGAGGACAGACTGAAGAGAATCATGAACTGTTTTTTAAGATTCTTCTTCAGCACTTCGAGATGGTCTCATGTGTCCCACCTATATGCCGAGTCAAAGTGGCTCTTCCCATCTTCCCGCCGCCTATACTTCCTTGGAAATTTCTTATACCAAACGATCAACTCCCAGCACCCTTCCTATATCTGTTGTCTCCTCCAGCCTAAACCCTTAGTCCACTCAATAAAAACGAGATCCCGTGTTTCTGACCTCTATATTCCATCACACAGGACAAAAACCTTCTTAGCCCGCTCCGTCTCCTACTGGAATTCTTTGCCACATAACATCCGTCATGCCTCTTCCCTGTCAATTTTCAAATACCTCCTTTTCCAATATCTCCTTACATCCCAAACAGAAGATTTACCACCATAAATTTCATTTTATGAACTGAATTTGCGTGAAGTAAATAGTGGTGCCTACTGTTTAAGTTTTAACATAAAACAGCAATGATCTTTGTCACCTAGTTTGACTATTATTTTTACTATTTATTTATTTTTCTCTTCTCCTCAGGTTGTGCTTTTTTTTTCGGGTATATATGTTCATATTTTATATCTTTGTCTTTATGTGTGCCAATATGAGAATGTACGTATAAATAGTTCCTTTTAGTTATTTTTTTTTTCCGTTACACCACAAGTATCGTAAGACTTTATTTTATCTTAGTGTCTGCATATTATTATATAAACCACTGTAGATATTATTTCATTTTGTATTAAGTTAGTTTTCTATTAGATAGCCTATTGTTTATAAATTGTGTAGTTATGTATATATAAATATGTAATTTCTCTTCTTTTTTTTTTTTTTCATCACAATTAAGTAATTTTGAGAAGATTTTATGTTCATTTGTATATATATTTTATTTTTTATGTTTTACTGGTTAAATACTTTTTAAATAATGTATATAATATTAAAATTTTTAGAAGTTAGTTTTTGGCCAGATTTGTACTTTACTTTGTATTAACTCATCATTGTTATTCTAAAGGGACTTAGTCCCAGAATAAAGTTTAATCTTCTAAAAAAAAAAAAAAAAAATATATACCTTGTAAAATTATAGAATGTTTTTATTATTACATTTGTGTTTGTTTATAATTTCAATAATATCAATACAATATAATAAATATGAATATGAAGATATAATAATATGAATATCAATAATATGAATATAATAAAATAAATATGAATACGAATATATTATCAGTGGCTATCTGTGTCAAGGTTATAAACATTGGCAGTCGGGCACTACCCGCTACTAAATAAGTACCGAAAAAATAATTAATTCTACTACAATTTCTATTCTGATTTGATTATTCTTATGATTAAAGGGACTTGTGAAAGAGGTTACTGTAAAATGGCCTGCGTGGGCAACTAGTGCACGTGACCAGGTGGGCCGATCTAAGGACGCAGCCTCCAAAATAATTACGTTATTTGCAAATCAACAGGTAGTTAGGTCCTAACTGTCTGTCTGTCGATATAGGTAGGTGTTTGATTAGGGGTATTGCGATAATATAGGTATTTTCCTTTTCTTGTTGATCGATATCGTATAGGAACAAAGAATTAGATATTATCCTAATATTGGATTTCGATTTTTTTTTTTTTTTTTTAGTTAAATTATAAACTTAAATCAATTTATTCAATGATAAACAAACAAATATTTGACAAAATAATGAATTGAAGAACATCAAAGTATACTCTGAACAGATAAATAAATAAATAATAAGATTTGGAATGAAAGAAGAGGAATAAACCTACATACATTGGAGTAGAAAGAGGAAAAAGCAACATATTCGTAGACTACGGGGGGGGGGGGGGAGATCGCTGCCACCCTCTCAAAATAAAATTGTTAAGGGGACGAGAGCACCGTTTCGGCCCCCCCTCCTTAATAATTTGAAGTAAAAAAAAAATCGATTACATATAAAAATATGAACGAATAAAATACGTAAACTTAAATCGATTAAGAAAATTCGACTAGGCTAAGGCCCATAAATAGGTACGAAATTTTTATCACTACTTAAATATTCCTATTTTTTAAATTTTCATTTATATTCAGAGAAGATTATATAAAAACATTTCCTAGGATTTTATGATTCATTCATCTCTCACGTGTACATCTCCATTTCCATGCGATTTTCTTATATTTTTTTTGCGATAAAGTTGGAAAAAATATCTTTAATAAGTTTAAATATATTTTATAGAGATTTAGATATAGAGACTAGTTAGATTAAGAAAATGTTCTTTTAATTTTCATTTTAAGGTTGTGGAAACTAAGAACTCAAAAATATTTTAAAGTTTTTTAACATTTTTTTTTTAGCTGGAAATGTTTAATGGATAGATATTGTAATAAATTAAATTGTTTTGTTCAGATATCTTCGAGCGTATGCACATAATAAAATATACAAATTCCTAACAAATATATAAATTTGTTTTTAAATATTCGATATTATATTTGTTCGTTTCACAATAATTATGTTGAATTTGTGCACATAGTAAGAGCTACTACCATTTTTTTTTTTTTTTTTCTTAATCGAAATGGAACGTCTGCGCCTAATGAAAGGAAATGGACAGAAGAACAGAAAAAGAAAAACCAAGAAAAAATTATATACGCCTGGTCTTCAGCTAGCTTATATTGCGAAAAATAATCGATTTAATATATATTAAAAAAAAAAGTGATCATATTAGCACAATCCAATATTATTTAAACCAACCATCTAGATAACAAAACTTGAAATCCCTCGACAATTCATCAAATCTAATTATCGACCTTAAGTTGGTTGATTGTTTTGAGGTTATCAGCGCCTTATAAATAAAATATTATTATTAAAATATTTAGCTGGCAGGTTAATTGAGAAAAAAAATAATAGATGTAGAATACACATATAAAAATAAATAAATAAAATAAGAGGGGGAGAGGTAATATATATAGAAATCATTATTATAGGTCTTCCATTAAATTTACCCTTGTTAGAAATGTTATTATTATTTAGTCAGTTTTATTGCTGTCGTTTCCTAAGGCTAGTGATATATTTTGTGATATTTCTAAGTCATTTAATTTAGGAATATCAAACGGCCAATCTTGGAAGATGTTAGTTAGGGACAAGACACTATTGCAATCTAGCATCTAAATCTAGTGACATCGGCCGTAAGTATTACCACTATCAAACGGATTTGATAAGATAAATTCATAATTTAGATATGGATATATATTTAGTGGATTGTTGAAATTATAAGGATGGAAAATGGTCAGTATATGCAGTTTTACGTTTATTAAATTTGCCGAAGTTTCGACCCAATGATATGGGTCATCATCAGGGCAATGTTTTCAATTCAGTTGTCATGGCAAACTTAACAAACATTTACTGCACATACTGATTATTTTTCATCCTTAAAAATGTATATGTTTATTTTTTAGCAACTGAATAGTAATTTAATCATTTGTTTAACATGTGTAAGGAACTATTATGATTTATAAGTATATAAACATTATCATAAAATATGATGAAACCAATAATAAGTAATAAAATTCTATAAAAAAACTGACAGAATAAAATATAATTGCTGGAATAAATAAGAATACTGCCAGCAATTCTTTTCTGATAGCCATTTTAAGACCAATAGAACTCCACTCTGCCAAATAGAAATAAAAAAAAAAAAGCAATATAATAAAATGCAAAATCTTTACATTAGGTGATTGAGTTAATAAAAAACGAATCACTACCTCTTTGGAATCCGATTAGGTTAAAAGCCCTCGGGGATCGTTATTACTTCCAATATGGCCTCCAAAAGCCTCTTTCAACCACTATTATCTAATATAACCTTCTATATTCTCATAATTGTTACTCTTTATCATATATACTATACCGCTACCGGTATGACTGTTAATTATATTGGTTTATTATTTTCAATAATGAACCATTGCAATCGAACAAAAAATTCAAAAATTCAACCCCCTGTCAAAATTTGAGGTTTTACGTTTCAGGATATGTAGAATTCGAAAAACGAATACAAATTTTATTGTCCGTTCGCCGTCCACCATCCGCGCATTTTGTCCGAAACTACTGGACCGATTTTTTTCAAATTTGGATATAAAATCAGAGGACACCCGAGGATGATCCTCCTTCATCGACATTACTATCTGCCTTTAACTTTGAAGATGGCGGCCGAAAAACTTACGTTGTTATTGACTGTAGCGCCTAAACGAATGTACCGGATTTCAATGAAATTTGGCTAGTCTTCTCGACGCCCTTTAAATTTACCTATAAAACATACTTCAACGAAAAGAAGCTGGAAAAAAAGTTACGAGAGGTAGTAAAATTAGATTCTGAATAACTCAAATAGTATTCAGTTTTTTGTGGATATTGCGCATGGTTATCTAAAAGTATATGAAATATCTTTAAAAAAAAAAAATCATTAAATTGGGCAATTTGGAGCAACGATATGGTCTCTAGATCTTTTTTATATGTTCTACACCCAATGTTATATCCTTTGTTTTGAATTTTGATTTTTTTAATGTCTCACTGAAGTAATGCTAATTTTTTTAGCATATTATTAATGGTTGAAAAAAATGTTTAGACCAATAATTAAGATCACCTTTTATTTCTTTTTCTTTGTAACTAGGAAGGTAATGTTACTTTAGATGTAAAATTGTTTGGAAATATTAAAACCATTGTGGAATAATTTGTAGCGTTTTTTTTTAATTATTTATTTGTACGCAATAATAATAATGCAAATAAAGAAATGCTTAGCGAACACGAAGGTTCGATGCCAGCACCACCAATATCTGTCTACAGATCTACTCCACCGGTCGCCGTTAAACCCTTCCATCCAGTCAGATCATCCTCAACGCAATCCTCCCACCTTCGCTTCGGCCTCCCCCTCGGATACTTACTAATCGGCACAGCAAATATTAACCTTTTAGGAATTCTTTCGTTACTAAACACATCACTTTTATTCGACACAATTGTATTCATCTCAACTATATTCACTGGATTTCACGCAATTCGGCGACGTTGTGTAACCTTCTAAATTCTCCAGTTGACTCATCCTTTTTCGGTCCAAATATTCTAAGTAATAATTTATTTTCAAAAACCTTAAGCGTTGTTCATTCCTTAACGTAAGCGGCAACGTTTCGCATCCATAAAGAACCGTAAGAGCTAAATAGTTTTGTCATAGAAAAATAACAAGCGTTTCCCGCCTTCAACCTAATCTTAATCTTCTCTTCAATTCCGTTTTTATAGTTATCTTAGATCTTTGATAACAAAATTTCTCTAAATGTTCAAACATATTCTCTTCTACATCGATATCACCGACATTGTCACCGTTTTTGCAGCTAACCGTATATTTTGTCTTATTCGTATTTATTTCGAGTCCACAGTTCTTTGCCGGCTTTCATCAACGTTGTCGTCCTCGTAGCTCAATAAAGTACCACAAAAATAATAATACTGACAATTATAATATACCTGGTTGGTTGTGCCTGAAAGACATTGGCGTGGGTATGCTAGAATGGAGGCCTGGACCCATTGAGCTCTGGTATGGAGTCGGTAACCTGGAACAGAAACAACAGTAGTAAAGTATACATATTATGATTAATTATATACAATAATCATCTACTATAATATTAAACATAGATCAATATATCGTACGTCATGATAACAGGAGTCGAGAATTTTAATCGACTGTTATTAAAATATCATAATAAACAACTAAATAAATAAATTAAAATACAGCACTAGACAATTGTGGATCAACAATTTAACTTATATATATATATATATATATATATAAGTATATATTTGTTACATATATATATATATATATATATATATATATATATATATATATATATATTTTTTTTTTTTTTTTGGGAGGGGAGAGGAGTTGTTACAGAGATTAAAAAACTGTTTAAGTAGATATGGAAGTATAAAATATCTTATGTTCGAAAGAAATTTTGTTCGAATCCCAATTTCTGTATTTCTTTTTTTTAAAATTCAAATATTTTTTTTTACATTATTTATTTTTAAATGAAAAAGTTCTATAAATGTACTAATACTATGAAAGCTGTCTCTCCTCCCCCATGTCATATAATCAAGTTTTTTTTTTATAGACATTTTCAAGTATATATAATACGTAAAATAAAAAAAAATAACATATAAATTGATACAATTATAGAAACATATAAGAAAATGAATTATAAACACTAAATATTATATTTGTTCGTTTCACAAAAAAATATGTTGAATTTAACACATAACATAACACATATTTTTTTTTTTTTTTGTCCATCCCCTCCCCAATTAAAATTAAAAGTCTGCGTTTATGCCTGGGTCAATGAAGAAGCCTTTTCATTGGTGCCACATAGTGGTCAAAACTCATAAAAGCCGGCATTTTGTTCTTCAAGGCAAAATTTTTATATTTCCTTCATATGAACTTTGACATATAAGGTAACTTTGTAAAGATTCAGTAGATTAAGGTTAGATGAATGACCAAGGATACAATAACGACAGTGAGTACAAACTATAGAAGGGAAGATAACAGGTGGCCTAAAGTACCTCATGGTACAAGACAAGTGTGGTCTATGGGCCATCAGCCTCTTCCGAATATCCTTCATGGCCTCCTTAATCTCGGTCCTTCCTTTATACCGCCGCGGGTCACGCACTTCCATCCCATCTTCTGTATTATTTGCCCCTATGTCCTCTGTAATATTTTTAAGTTCGATAACATGTTTCGCACTATGCATAATATATATCGAATAACCCGCCCTCTTCTCTCTCTCTCTCTCTTTATATGTTACTACATACAATTATCTTAAAATATGAACTTTAATTTCAATAATGAAAACAGAGGGCATGATAAAATTACATACCTATGTTTAGACTTTAGCTTATCCATCTAGTCGACTTTTCCTATTTCCTGAATCGATTCTAGTTCACATATTTTGTTCATGTAGATTAATTTTTATTTTATTTTCGTTCTTCGAATTGGGGTAGAGGAGGAGAGGGGACGATATTCCTTGCCTCTCTCTATTTTCATTGTGAGGAGTGACAATTGCCCCTCCGAAGTCTGCATCTATGTTACCCATTGCTGTAAGTTGTAGAACTTATAAGCAATTAAAATATCTATCAATCTATCTCCATTATTACTTTCACTTACCTATATATGAAATATATAGTAAAATAAATTATTGGGATCGTGAAAATTTTCGAATCTCAGTTTTCAACGGAAAATACACGTTTTGAGGTCCCCTAGGTCCGAATAAAAAAGTCCCGGAAAATGGTCAGTGTGTGTCTGTTAACAGTCTAGCTTAAAAATTAAAAGTCATACGAAAGTTCAATTGCATATTTAAGGTTTTTACATAACTGGGATGTTACAGCAAATATTTCGTCAAAATCGGCTTACCGGAAGTGTCACTTTATATAATAGGCGAAACACATTTTTATGATTTACTCAAAAACGGCTGTGACGGTTTTGATTAAATCCATTATATCAGTGTATTATTACGCAGTCTTAAATAAAATGTAGTTTTTGTTCTTATTAATATTCTCTATCAGGGCTTAAATGGCTAATATTCAATATTAGCTTCCCCAAAAGTTTCTTTATTTTTATTTGAAACAATTGACCACTTAAATTCATCTCTAATATAAAAGATAGTTAAATATAAAATATTTAAGAATTTGATAATAAACTAAAGGAGAAATAAGAGATCGTAATGGAGAATAGTTGTAATGCATGAACCCAAGGAATACGAGAGCACCCGAAAGATTGAATATAATACGGACTTCGACAATATAATGTAATTATACATATGGGGTTTTCATGAATGCTATTGTTGGTATTATTTAATATTTAATTGTATAGATTACAGCGAAATAAATATTATAATTTGTATGTATAAGGGTACTTATGCAAATAAAATACCCACAATGAAATATAAATAAATGTAGCGTCTATAATATTTACTTTCACTTCCCCTTAGACTGAAAATACCTTTTCCTGCTAAGACGAGGGTGGTAAGTGAAAGTTGTGTGATGCACGAACCACACTAGATTATTTAAATATTAATTTTATTAAAATAATGGATGTTACGGAACAGTAAAATAGCCTACACATAGACTATGTTGGTCAGCTGGCAACATACAATAAACACCTCGCCACAGACCACATTACTACAGACCACGGCCCTTCCAATTACCTCGCACACCAGTTCCATGGATTGGAGGAGATTAGGGCTCTGATGGGGTTGTTGCGCTCAACAATAATCCTCTGCTAATGTTCTTCGTCCTCATCGGAGGCTGTTGTTGATTGGTTAATAACAACCAACACAATGACAGGGTTATGTTGTAAATGTATCGGAGAAAAGGCGATTAAATCATTATTTATAATTAAGGACAAGAGTTATTTTTATCAGTGAGGAGTTTATTTATTAGTTGCAAAATTGATGTTTTTGTTACTAAAATACACGTTTGAAATAAAGAAACCTACTGGTTCTTTACAATAATTATGGTGATAAATGAACACATTCCACCATATATACAGAAAATATAAAATTAAAAGTAAAATAATAACTAAATAATAATAAAAAAAACTATGTCCAAAAAAAAAATTAAAATAACCTAAAGATAAGTAAATTAAAAACATAAAAACACAGTCATACCTATATACGATATATACAATCAGGCAGGGAATTCCAAGCCAGGCTTCTCCCCCCCCACTATAGAAGAAAATGCAGGACTCTTAGAGATCCCTGCACTACTCTCTCAACCACGTCACTGGTGCTAAAGCCAGTGGAGTTTGAGCAAGAGCGCTTTAGCCACATAAACTCATGTCTTTAGTGGAGAATCTGGCCATTGCCAGAACTCCAAGATACATATTACAAAAGATCTCTGGGCCACTGCCGCTTCAACCTTCGAGGAGGGTTGTAGAGATGAGTGGAACTAGATAGGGATTGTGCCAGGGAATTTGGATGATTGATAAGGTTCTGATGGAATTTGTAAAATTTTTTAGGGATAAGGTCAAGGACAAATGGGATATTGAGGTCATGATGTAGTGTTTGGTTGGTTACATAGAACGGAGCATCGACAATTGTTCGGAGGACTTTGGACTGAAAAGATTGGATGCCTTTGATGTTAGAAATTTTTGCTGTCCCCCAAAGTTCAAGTCCGTAGGTCCAAATAAGTTTCAGGATTGTCTTGCAGATCACTAATTTGTTGTCAATTGAAAGTTGAGATTTTCTAGTCAGTAGTCTCTATAATTGACCGTATCGTCGATTAAGTTCTTGTCTTTTAAGTCTAGTATGTGGGTTCCACGTTAGTCTCCGGTCTAAGGTAAAACCGAACTGTGTCTGAAAAAGGAATTAAATTGGACTGATGGACAGGAACTGAGTGTGAAGGATTTGGATCAGTGTCAAAATTGATGTTTTTGTTACTAAAATACACGTTTGAAATAAAGAAACCTACTGATTCTTCAATTATTTTCATGAAAATGTAAATATTGGGGCTAGAAACATTAAGTTTGTCAGTTATATAAATACGCATTAATTCCTTTGATAGAAATGTGGAAGAAAAACTCATAATCTTCTTACCTGAAAAATCATTATTTTTAATTTTTATAAATAAAATGTGTTTTTAGGCAGTTGTGTTGATTTCAATAAATCTATTATTACGGAAAAACAAGAAATAAATGCTTTCCTAGATTTAATTGTAGTCGTTTTTGCTGAAAACACGTGTGCTTTAAGGTGACTGGATAGAAAATCATTTTATTAGGAAATCATGAATTTCATTTTATTATCGTTCATAAACCTCTACTTCATTAATATCTACTTAAAGCGTATTAAATGAGGATATAAAGTTTTTTTAAAAGAGGGATAAATAAAGGGTAGTTGAAGGATGATAAAAAAAAATCCCCAATAATTTATGACTTTTTTTTATGCTGTGCATGAACGCTCAATAGTCCGCTTTAAATACTTTTAAAAATTACAAACTCTTTCGTTTAAAGTAAATTTTATCTAATTTACTATGGAGCAATGTTTAATTACTATTCAGATATTTTTTAATAAATGCACTTATAATGTATCTTTATCTATAAATACACTTATTTAAGATTAGTTTTAAGCAAGTCACGTTGTTTGTTGAATAGGAAATGATAAACACAGCATATTTATAAATCATTACTATGGATATTTCTTTAACCTAATATACAAATATACAGTATCATCTATATATCTGAGCATTGTAAACAGTTTTTTTTTATGTATTATTTTTTTCTTTCTGTTTTCACTATTTCTTTTAATTTAAAATACAAATATTAACATCGTTTTTTTGCTTTCTTTACCTTCTCTCTCCTTATACATTTTTCTTATTCTTCCTCATATTTTCCCCTCTCTCTTCCTAACACAATCCATACTTGCTCTGGCCATAAATGTAAAATATGCATATAGCATGCATAAATTGGACATATATATATATATTATTGAATTTATATATTGTCTTTTGTATAATAAATAAATTCCTAGTGGACAGGAAAAAAAAATTCAGTCACTAAAAACTTTTGTTGCTTAAAAAATATTTGTGCTAGTTCTTTCCGATCTACCTGCTTTTTGGCCGTAGGCATCCATGGTTGTTTATAATCATCATTCATTTTATTTGAATAGCCGATTTGAGATGTGCAACTTCACAATGGAGCACACGTGTAAGTGCCTACAGTGTAACTAACATGGAGGTCGATATTGGACGTCAAATCCTTCCAGGTTGTTGCTGCATCATCCTTCATAACAGCTTATAGAGGCAGGAGTGCCCAGAAGGAGGTTTCATGGGGCAGTCTGCGCCATAAAAATTTTTGAGGGAGAGGGGCACATTTCGACGGGGCTATAAATTTTCGGGATGAAAAGTTTCAGACTAAGAGACAACATGGGACAGATCGGAAGAAGTGTAATTATATATGATCTACGATTTTTCGAATTCTATGTCCGCTTACTCTGTTTTTAAGATAAGGTGAGAAATAAAATATCTTGAAATAGAAATAGAAAATAACTTTATTCTGGGACAAAGTCCCTTTAGAATAACAAAGTAGAACATAATTAAAATACTACATCTGGCCAAAATAAAACAATAATAAAAAAAAGAGAAAGTAAAGAAAATATTAGTTAAACAAGCTATATCCAAAAAAAAAAAAACTATATACAAAACACTTAAGACTATATACAGTAGGAAAAATTATAATTATACTCTTTTGAAAAATAAAATAATAAAAAATATATTGAGTTCTTCTTTAAAATGAGGTGTGTTTCTGCTAACAAAGAAAAGACAAAGCTGACAATATAAAATATCAGTGTATTTAAATAATGAATAATATGTAGACTCATCATTGTCAAATGCTATAGGTACAGATTTCATTATATACGAATAAAAAACAAACAAACAATAGATGCGGTCAGTGGCATTAAGAGCAGGAAGATATTGTAATATCCCTAGTGAAGTTCACAGTATAGAATAGTACTATGGTTTGATGATGACTAGAAATGTATAATATCAGAAGTTTAGCAAGTATTTGACTGTTTTTGGGATAGGAATTGGAATAAGAGGGATTTGAATGTGGATATGGAGGGGGAATGCCGAATTTTGATAGGTAGAGAATTCCAAATATTGACAGCGAGAGCTATAAAGGAAT